GCGGGTGCCCTAAATTTTATTTTTTAAATTAAACCTGAAAAACGTCCCCCTCCGCATTTTTTTTCCCCTCCAGTTCCAAAAAGCGCGAACCTAAATCGGACACGTGGGGAGTGCTGCTGAATGTCGGGCTACTTTGGGCGGGTATTTGGGCGATTTGGACTACTACTTTTTGGAGCGAGAGGGAGGGAGGGAGAGAGGTGATGGGGAGCGGCTGGACGGCGAGACACCCACACACCCAGTCAGTCAGTCAGACAGTCAGACAGACAGACAGACTGACAGACAGGCGCTCCGGGAGCCGGGCCATGTGGCGCTGAAGGTCTGTAACGGGGATGTGTGGCTCGAGCCAGAACGAGCCGCCTGGACATTTGCAGCTCACGTTTCCCCGCCCTGTCTGGGACCTGCGTCACTCTTTTTAGTTGTGAGGAAAATGGGGGGAAAGAAACATATTTGGACGAGACTCAACTGGAAGAGCAAGTCAAGCTGGAGGGTCATCTGCCATCACCTGACAAAGCCTCCACACACACAGAGAGAGAGAGGGAGAGACACACACACACACACAGATGGGGGTTATTGGGACTTGTAGTGGGGAACCTGTAATGACCTTTGAATGGGAATTGGACAAATGTTCAAAGGGTTTTTTGTCTGTGAGTGAGTGTGTGTCTGCACTCATTGGGGGAAACGGACTGGAATTAGCGCAGAGGGACTGGATATAGTTCGCCACAAATTTGCACAGGAAACTCCCGATAACTCGTTGCTTCCAGGGGAAAAGGGCGCGGTGACGAGGTATCCGGAGCGGCGAGTTAGGCCAATGTATAAATACACACACACACAAACAAACGCGCAAACAAATAAATAAATGTGGCCGGGATACCGACAGCGTGACGACCCAAGTGGTAGTGACAAGTTGATTGAAGACGCCCCCAAAAAATTGTTATACGCACAGAGGATTATTAGAACGTAAGACGCTGACCAAAAATATAACTTGAAGCAGAATCCGTAAGAGGTTTTCAAAGGAAATCAAGTAAATAGTTGAAGAGGGAAAAATATCAAAGGGTGTGAAGAGAAAAGGACGGGGGAACGGGACTGATCGGAAAGCTCGGGGAGTACAGTCCGGGGAGAATGCAGCTGGCAAGGCTTGTTGCGCAGAGCGCCATCGAGACATCATTTAACACTCAGTAATTAAGGAACAAAATTCATGACACCTCACAACTCGTTCCTTGTGTTACTTGTCATAAGAACATATGAAAACAGGAAAAGAATGAGGCCATTGAGCCCATCTGTTCCACCAGTTTATGAGATCTTGGTAGATCTTTTAATCCTAATGTTCTGCCTTTTGACATTTTATACCTCAATCTCCAAAGTACATCTACCACTCAATCGTGTCCAACATGTTAAGGCTTAAGCAATGTTAAAAATTTCAGCCCTATGATTCTAAGCAGGATTCTTTCATCTTCATTTGCAGGTTTGTTTTGCTGAGTTGATCCCTTAGAAGCATTGCTGTCTAAATGCATGTTTCTGCAGGTTTTACATTTCTCTTTTGGCAGGGTTTCCAAAACAGGAAAAAATGTGGAGTTTTTGTGTTTTCCAAACTTTTGTTTGCAAATACAGTCACTCCACAGTAAATCCCGTGAAGCACTTTGGGCTGCAGCGCCTTGGGACGTCCTCCTGACATGAAAGGCGTTATACAAATGTAATTTGTTGTTGTTGTCCTCCCGATGTGAAAGATGCTACACCAAATGCAAGGACTATTTATTATAAGTAACGAAATAATTCTGTTGGTGAATAATTCAGTAAAATTTCTTTTGTTGGAAATGTTGTGGGGATCTAACAGTGCTCAACATGGCTGTCATATTTGTCTCATTAAAGCAGTCACTACCAGTGGCGGCCCATCTCAACTCTGTTCAACACCTACCTCTTTGACTGTCCCTTCGGTCATTCTCCTACCGCCCAACTTCGTGATTCCAACCCCCAGCTCGGGTGCAAATCCTTTACTGTCCAGCGCCAAAATGAAAGGTGCTTTTTTTTGGTCTGCCAGATGTCTGACACATGCGGAAACCCATCACCGTGCTTAAGAGTATCCAAATCACAGAGATAGATTGTTGGAATGAATTGTGCACTCTCCCTGAAGGGACGCATCCTGCTTATCTAATCCTGGAAAGTATTAGGTGAAGGTTGGCAAGACCCAAGGCATCGGGGACCCCAGTCTGTGCATTGGGTACTGCTGGAGCCTAACCAGCTAAAATCATACAGCTTGCTTTCCTGCTGCTTGTCCAGCTAGGACAACAACAACAACAAGATTGCATTTATAGAGCGCCTTTTATGACGGGAGGACGTCCCAAGGTGCTGGACAGTTGGGTCAGGACCTGAGCAGGGGGGAAATGGTCAGGGTGAGGGGAAGGAAGGGAGGGAGCGAGGAGGGGGTAGAGAGTCGAGAGGGGAGCTGAAGGCACGGTTGAAGAGAACCACCCTACCCGTTAGGGCTTTGGCTTGCAGGGTTAATAGGAGCTGAGTGGAATGACTCCCTGCCCCCAGTGACTGGTCTGCCCTTCCAGATCCTGCCAATGAGTCTATGCTGCATCAGCAGTGCTCTGTAATTCTGCGGACCTGCCTGGTGCTATATTAATGCAGATTGGTGTTGTTTCTATTGAGAACCGTAAAGGGCTCTCAACTTTCTCTGACAGGATAGCAAGATGTTACCGGGGATGCAATTTACAGTCCTTAGTAAACTCAGGCGTAACTTTGCGTACAGTGTAGGATTAGAGTTAGAGAAAGAGGCGTAATAGACATAATAATAATAACTATAGACGTAGAGGTAGAGTAAGTCATAAAGAAGCTGAGAGAGAAGGGACTCTCACAGAACGAAAGTGAGAGAATCACATAGAATCTACACCGCACTGAAACGTGCCCGAGTAGTCTATGCTGTCTTTACTCTACAGGAGCCTCTATCCATTCTAATCCCCACCTCCCTAGCATCCCGCATTCCCCTCTCTCCCCCTGTAGCTCAGTGGTTAGAGCACTCGCTTTGCAAGCGAGAGACCTGAGTTCAATTCCAGGCAGAGGGCGAAACCTTGGGCAAGTTTCCTTACTCCACACAGAGCCTAATAATAATCCCTCCAAAACCAAAAACAATAATAAATTGGTCATTTTCAATCTACGACTGTTTGTGGGACATTGCTGTGCGCAATTGGCTGCTGCGTTCGCCCACAAATATACAGTCAATTCACTTTACAGTGTGTTCTGTGAAGCACTTTGGGACGTCCTCCCGACATGAAAAGCGCTATATCAAATGCAAGGATTAGGTAAAGGACAGCAGCAGAGGCTAGACTCAAAACAGTTTGGGATTCTGACACAATAGCCAATAAAAACAAAGGGTTTCTCTTTCTGTCTGAGAAATGAACGATTTTCTTCCCTTATATCTCCCCTTATTGATGGCAGGATCTGCTACTAGAATTAACTATAATAATTGAAGTGCACTTAAACCTGCAAGGATTTGGGGTTTACAAAGATTATAAAGAACAACAACAACAAGATTCCATTTATAGAGCGCCTTTCACGTCGGGAGGATGTCCCAAGGCGCTGGACAGTTGGGTCAGGACCCGAGCAGGGGGGAAATGGTTAGGGTGAGGGGAGGGAAGGGAGGGGGCGAGGAGGAGGGAAATGGTCAGGGTGAGGGGAGGGAGGGAGCGAGGAGGAGAATGTACAGTATGGAAACAGGCTACTCTGCCCAACCAGTCTGTGCCCATGTTTATAATCCACACGAGTCTTCACCCACTCCTTACTCCATCCCACACTCTCTATTCCACTCTCCTTCATGTGAAAGTCTAACTTCCTCTTGAATGCATCTACACTTTGTTTCAACCACTGCTTCAGGTAATGAGTTACACAATCTCCATATCCTCTGCATGAAGTAGTTCCTCCAAAATTCTCTTTCTGATCCCTTAGTCACTATCTTATATTTGTGTTCCTTGGTTAAGAACTCCCCAACCAGTGTAAACAGCCTATATATGTTAAATCTATCAAAGCCTTTTATAATTTTAAGCACTTCTGTAAGGTTCCCCTGCAAATTGCACTTCTCTAGCGAAAAAAAGCCTTACTCATCCATTCTATCCTGGTAGCATATAATCTATCCTGATAGCATTGAAGAAGGTAGACTCATACAAAATTCCAGAAGTTTCAACCTTTTAAAGACCTACAGTCTTTAACTGAACCAAAATTCACATTTGGAGGATGTCTCAAAGAGCTTCACAAGATTTACTGTAAAAATGTATTTTGCAAGCAAACAGTGGTGGAGGTACTGCCATCAAGATTTCCATTCACAGGCTTTGCCGATGCTCCAGTGCAGTATTGGGTGGGGGACATCTATTTTGTCAAACTGTCTCTCTTTCGGATCAGATGTTAAACCAAAGGGATGTCCTATCTGTCCGTGGACAACAATATTACATTTGTATAGCACTTTTCACATCAGGAGGATGTCCCAATGTTAAAGATCCCATGATGATTATTTGTGAGCCAAATTGAGGAAGAAGGGGAAGTGTGAACAAATATTCAAAATAAGGACATTTAAAACAAATAGAAAGTGGAAGATAAATATTTTTAGTAAATGGATGAGAGGTGTGTGGAACTGACCACCAGGTAGTGGAACAAGGAACTACTGTACTAAAGGTTTCAGAAAGGAAGTGGACCATCTATGGTGAGGCCTGCTACCTCGTCTTAGTAGGTGAGAGCATTGTATCTTAAAATCGTATAGAATTGTGAAAAATTCTTCAATTCAGACTTAATTTGGAAACTCAGTTCACTTTTTAAGAACCGCAGAGAATGGCTTCCTGAATTGAGGCTGAAATGAATCATTTTGCACCATTCAGCCCAAATTGTAAAGACCAAATGGAATTTTGGACCACAAACATCTACCTTTGACTAAAATTGTTATTGCAGTGTATTTTATTGCTCTTTCTGTGGTCTTTTCAGCTGCAAGAGGGCTGGAAATATCAATAACCACCGCAATGAATTCAGGGAAGTCCTTGCCTGAGAAACGGAGCAGCGACAATGAGAGAGCCTATGCTTCCACTGGCACAAGACAGCCGCCTCGAATCCTCGTGGTGGATGTTACACCTCCCTTTTGGTCAGACATTTGCACTTGCATCTGTGAAGCCCTGGAAAATTTCTTTGCGTTGGCTTGCAGTTTGGGAGGACCGCCTCGGCTCCCACTGCTCAGTTTGTATGTGGTCCATAATCAGCAAGAATGCCTTCTTCCTTTTGTGGTATGTTACACTCAGCTGTGCATCTGGGTTTTGTTTCACTACCTGTCTTGAATGTGACTGAAAACTTCAACATTGAGGGAATTCAAATGTATGAATATTTATTCATTTAACTGTAATGCTGCTGTTCTGCAATGGGGGAGGAAGATTTACCTGGAGGATTGTTGAGCAGGATGCTCGGAGAAACTCCCTTCTCATTTCCAATCCTGTCACATGATCTTTAGTAACATAATAATATTCCTTGCATTTGATAGAGCACGTTATCATGTCTTCAAGACGTCTCAAACCGCTTCACAGAATATACTGTAAAGTGAATTGACTGTATATTTTGTGGGCGAAACACGGCAGCTATTTGTGCACAGCAGTGTCCCACAAACAGTCGTGGATTGAGTGACCAGATCATTCTTTTTTTGATGGGATTATTACCCCCGGAAATGCAATCCGCCAATCGACTAACAACCGGGTTCCTACTTACACAGTCGTGAATTGAGTGACCAAATTATTATTTATTTTTAATGTTAATCTGAACAGTACAGATGTGATGGCCCCTTGATTTAACATCTCATCTAAAAGACAGAGGTCTCCGACAAAATACTCTGACAATACAGCACTCCCTCCCCCTCCCCGCAATACTGCACTGGAACATCAGGCGAGACTTTGAGTTAAGTCTTTTCAGTCTTTTGTAGCTGATTCCCAAACATTGTGCTGCCATCTTTGAATTTTCGACACCAATGGAGATTTGAGATCTTGAAGGCCTCAATTGAGACATGGTGACAGGACATTGACCACGTGAATATCCTCTTACAGTTGCACTCAAATGCCAGCCTTGATATTGCCCAAGGAATTTTCTTCCCTCCTTTCCAATAGGGAGTTACAAAGCCACACACCTCCAGATATGTTTCCTCCCCTCCATTATACACAGCATTCATTATAGTTAAATAAGCTGTTTTTGTGAATTTCAGTTCCTTATGTTACAGTTTGGGTTGATAGGGAAGAAAGGGAGATGCTGAGTGTTTGTGTGTGTGTTGGGGGGGAGGTGGGGAGCACAGTGTGTAAGATGCTAAATGGGAATGAGAAAGTAAACCCAGAACAACAACCAAGTATTTACCTTTATGTATTTGGGAGGACATCTTAAAGCACTTCGAATTGCTGACTAGGTGAGATATGTGAAGTCCTGCAGCGTAGTGTTTAGCGCGCTCACCTTGCAAGTGAGAATACCCGGGTTCGATTCCCAGGCAGGGCGAAACCGTAGGTAAATTTCCTTACTCCACATGCCTCTGTTTACCCAGCAGTAAGTAGGAACCTAGGTTAGTCGATTGACAGATCAATTTCCAGCAGTAATAATCCCTTAAAATAATTTGATCACTCAATCCAGCTTCAGATAAACCCAGACAGCAGGACAAAATAGTACATGTTGAAGTATGAAAAGGAGAGAGCAGTTCACCAGCCTGTTGTCTTGCCTAGGGTGGGGACAGGGGTAGAGGGTAGTGTGCTGTTGGGGCAGGGGTAAAGCAGAGGTGGAACCTCAAGAGGAGAAAACAAACAAAAAAATTGCATAGGACATTTTAATTGTATTGTTTCTGTACACTGTAGTTAAGTTGTGCTTTCTCAAACATTGTTCTCTTCTGGAACAGCAAGTGAAAGGGAACTTTCCCAGGCTCCACTCCTGTGTCACTGAGCTAAGATCCATGCCAAAAGAGGGCTGTTTACGCCAAAAGCCAGACTCTCTAAAACACGCCGTAGAGGATGGTCTCCTGCAGTTTAAGCAGTACATGAGGCATTTGACGGTGGGAGGATCTCTCAACAACTGTTCAGTGGAGGTGAGCCATTCAGATTTAAAAATGATGTTATTGAAACAGAAGCTCCGAAATTCATCTCGTCTCAGCCTGTGAGAATGTTTTGTAGTCAAATTTCAGATAATAATAATAATCCTTGCTTTGGATATAGCGCCTTATCACATCGTTGAGATGTCTCAAAGCGCTTCACGGAATATATCGTAAATTGAACTCACTGCGTTTTTTGTGTGTGAAATTAGGCAGCTAATCTGGGATTGAGTGACCACATTATAATTTTTGGGGGTGGGGGGGGGGACAGGATTATTACGCTCTGTTAGCGATCCGCCGATCGACTAACAACACTCATTTTCAAATCCCTCCCCCTCCCCTTTTTCAAGTCCCACCTGAAAACCTCTTCCGCCCCCACCCCGGGTTCAGAGTTGGGCTCTCAACACTCTGAGATGGAGGTTGCTATATAAGTGCAAGTTGTTGTTGTTCCTACTTACTGCTAGGTAAACGAAGGCATCTGGAGTATTTTGGAAGCTGTGTTGAGTAAGGATAGTTGCCTAAGGTTTTGACCTGCCCGGGAATTCAGATGACACAGAATTACGAGGAAAAGATCACTTTTGTTGAGTTCATATGCTATCCCACCTTGGTGTCTTGATCCATGAGCCAGCAAGTCCAATGGCGGCATAGGTTAGCTTGACGTTCAACCATTTTGATAATGTTGATATGGAGTCCTGTAGAGTATTGGTTAGAGCACTGGCCTCGCAAGAGAGGAAGTGGGAGGACCCATGTTTGATCCCCAGGCATGGCGAAACCTTAGGGAAGGTTTCTTACTCTACACTCCTCTGTTTACCTAGCAGTAGCTAAGAACCCGGTTGGCAGATTTCTTTACGGGGGTAATGATCCCTCTTTTTAAAAAAATATTTGTACACTCAATCTAAGAATGTTTGTAGAACACTGCTGTGCGCAATTGGCTGCCGAGTTTCACCAACAAAATATGCAGTTAATTCACAATATATTCTGTGAAACACTTTGAGATGTCTCAACGATGTGATATGGCACAATATCAGCTGCATGGATTATTATTATTATGTTGGGGGTTGGTGAGGGGGTGGAGGAACCAAATGTTAACATTGTTTAGCAGCAGGCCTGAAATTCGATCCTAGTTGTAGTCTTAACACGTCTTAAAATGTAAGATTGCACAAAATTGTGCTACTAAATTCTGTCTAAATTTTGGGAGCTGGTTTTCCTCATTTCTCAACAAGAACATCTTCCAAATTAAGACTAAATCTGAGGATTTTCCACAATTTCAAGACAATAATTTTAACATTAACATTAAAATTTTGTCAATTCTAAAATAATCTTACAGGTTAAACCGCATTTCGGGCCAAATGTTTTAATTATTACAGGTCATATATTACATTGTTATATGTACAACAATGCCTTTACAACAACAACTTGCATTTATATAGCGCTGCTCCCAGAGCACTTAGCACAAAGCCGAGCCAGGGCAAGTGGTGATATAATAACTTTTAATTACAATAGCTTGCTGTGTATTATCTATAGGTTTATAAAGATTATTCACAAAACAAATCAGCATTTAAGTTATAAAGACCATTTTGGCTTAAAATTTATCACCATACAGAATTGTGAAAAATCCTGAAATGTAAGATCGGCGTTGAGGTCTGTAGCGTATTGGTTAGAGAACACGCCACGCAAGTGAGAGGGCCTGGGTTTGATTCCCGGGCAGAGCGAAATGTTAGTCCTTACTCCACACACCTCTGTTTACCTAGTAGTAAGTAGGAACCTGATTGTTAGTCGATTGGATTGCTTTTCCGTGGGGTAATAATCCATTAAAAAAAACAAAGGATTATTATTATTTTGGAAAAGACCAAAATTCTACTTAATTTGGAAGCTGCTTTGCTGCAGTTAATGTTTTATGCAGTGGAAACCAGTCTTCAAATTAAAACCGCATCGAAATTTCCAAACATCTGTACAATCTTCCATTTTAAGACGATGATTTTAAAAGCAATGGTCTGCCTCTCAAACTTCTGCCAAAGTGCCAGGCTCTAGTCTGTCATCAACATTGCCCTGGAGCACTGCAGCATTGCCTGGCTCAGGTAACACTCACTGCCTCAACTCAATCTCAAGCACCTAAAGCAAAGTACACGGGGAAGAAAATTCCAAGGAAGAAAGTAAACATTTTACAATTTCATCATCTTACAGGAAAGCAACAACAACAACAAAATTACATTTGTTTAGCGCCTTTCACGTCAGGAGGATATCCAAAGGCACTGGCAATCAGTGTTTCGGACCCGAACTGGGGCTCGGGATCGTCTAGGGTGGGGGAAGGAGGGTGATCAAAGGCACAGTCGAAGAGGGGTGGTGTGGTCATGAAGCCTGGTGTGGGAGAGGACACAGGCTGCAGAGTTCTAGATGAACTGCAGTCTATGGAGGGAGGAGTTGGGGAGGCCGACAAGCAGGAGTTTGGATAGTCAAGCCTGGATGGTCAAGCCTGGATGTTATGAATGCGTGTATGAGGGTTTCAGCAGCAGTGTGGATCAAGGCACGGATGTGGGGTAGAAAGCATAGTTGAGGGTCAAACAAGACGCCAAACAAGACGTCAAACAAGTTTCCGGAATGCCTTATCAAGGTGGTGTGTGCAACCATGGATGGTGATGCTGTCAGAGCCTGAGGTGTGGAGGCGCTGACAGGAGCCAATCAGGAGGGCCTCAGTCTTGTTGACATTCAACTGAAGAAAGTTTGCTCTCATCCAGGACTTGATATCTGACAGACATTCTGTTAGGACAGCAGTGGTCCCTGGAGTCAAGGATGGAGGCAGAGAGATAGCTTTGGATGTCATCTACATACATGTGGAAGTTGACCCCATTTCTGCGGATGACGTCAGCAAGAGGGAACATATAGGTATTGAAGAGGAGGGGACCAAGGACAGAGCCCTGAGGCACGCCATACGAGACAGTGCAGGGCCTAGAGGAGAAGCCATTTGTGGAGGTGAAGTGGAGACGGTGTGAGAGATACAATCTGAACCATTCAAGGACAGAACCATGAAGGTTGAGGTGAGAGGAGAGGTGGTGGAAGAAGATAGAGTGATCAACGCTGTCAAAAGCAGTAGAGAGGTCAAGGAGGACGAGGAAGCAGAGGGAGCCCTGGTCGCAGATGGACAAAATGTCATTTTCATTGTGACCAGAGCTGTTTCTGTGCTGTGGGCGGCACGGAAGCCCGATTGGAAGTGTTGGTGAAGGGCGTGGTGGGAGAGTAAGGAGGGAAGCTGGGAAGGAACGACTCATTCCAGCACCTTGTAGAGGAAAGGGAGGTTGGATATGGGGCGGTAATTTAAGAGTAGGAATGATCACCAAGGTAGCTGACCAGGCTCTCAAGGCAGGGTAGAGGAGAACAGCAAAGATAATCTCCAATTTTAGAAAGATTAATTATGAAGAAAGACTTGATAGACTAGGACTCTTCACCCTTGGAAATAGTATGTGCAAGAGCTGTTAAGTAAGATATGTGGGATTGATAAAGTAAATGCAGAACGTTCAAAAAATTAAGACAAACCAGGCACAGTTTCCAGATCATGGAGAGTGGCTTTGGGGTGTTGGACAATTTAATGCTGGAATTGCAAAGTTCACACAGTGATATGAACGCCACAAGTGATGCCCCACCACCACCATCACCCCCATACACACACACACACACACACACACAAACTACAAGCTCCTCTGCCAGCTCCATTTTTCGAAGCTATTCTCACAACTAGGCCCAAGCAAGGAACTTCAAGCAAGGAGAAAAAGCATTTCTGGGCCAAGCAGAGTGAGAATTTGGCTGCTTCTCAGCAGATCCAGCCCAGAGAATAACTCATAAACCGCACTCTCTAGGCCTGCAATATAAAAACAAAGTCACTTGTTGAAGAAAAATAGTGCAATATAGTTAGATTGGGGTTTGGGGATGGGAGGAGAGAGATCCTGACATCTAGTAGTCATTGAGTGTTGACCAATGTTGACGATTGTTCATTGTTGACTATTAACCACTGTTTAATGTGAATCTTCAATTTTTTTAATCTTACACTAAATACCGCAAATTGTGGCATTAAATTATTGAACTCAGCAAATTTCACCCTAGCCTGTAAGTTTTTCATACCCCATGGTTTATCTTCTGTCAATTCAGATTACCGTACTGACCAGTCAACCAGGAAAACGAGTGGTGAAGGAGCTGGAGTCAGGGCTGAATGAAACAGACATGGTTAGCCTCAGGCGGTTGCAGGTCCTCCAGATCTCGAAGTGTAATCCAATGGAATTGATGGACATGGAGTCAAGCACAGCCCTCAGCAGCGAAGACAATAATCCTGAAGGTCTGTGTTTACTATAATCTGTTACCCATAGACTCTTATTATATTTATTTTAGTACAAGGGATGTTTCCTTTCTATTTGCCTTGCCTTGAGTATTGCATCTTTCCCCCCACCCACTTCCACCTTGTTCATTTATAACAATATATTTAACTCTCTTTTTTTGGAAAGAAGGAAGGAATCTGTAATGTTTGTGTTACTGTCTGTTTATTTATGACCATTGCATTGGGTAATGTAGCAGAAATGATTCGCGCATCCCGCCCCCTTACCCCCTCTAAGCTTGATCACATTGCACATTCTGATTTATGTGTAAAAAAAAGGTCCTGAAGCGAGTTGTTTAAAGGCATTTGTTCTGGATTTGTTTTCTTTGGACTGAAAATGAAAGGTCAGTCTCTTTATGGGAAAGCCACAGTCTATAACTCAAGAAATATTTTTAAGTGCTTGAGAATGTGTCTAAGTAACTAAAATGAGTTGCCATTCCTGGACATCTTTTCCCCCTCTTTCTCTCTTACCTTTTCCCTCCCCTTGATTACCATCGCTGCTTATCACAACACTGCATTCAAGTCAACAGTCAGTCAACTACAACCTTCCCACACCTGAAATGCATTATGTGTTAAGATCATTGTCTGAAAGTTTAAGGTCATGCAGAATTTTAGAAGTTTTAAATTTAGTTGTAATTTGACAGCTGTTTTATTCGGTGTTCTTTCTATATATGAAAAAAACTGCTTCCAAATTAAGACTAGACTTCAGAATTTTTCCAATACTCTGTACAGGCTTAAAATTTTACACTGATTGTTTTAAAGCTGAAACCATGTGTGTTTGGGTCAAACGTACGGTGAGATATTACACTGGTTGTCCTAGTTGTGTGAATTGCCTCAGTGTTGCAGAATAGCTGAATGGTTAGTGTTGCTGGACCGTGATATGGAATATGTGCAACAAAACATCTTGGTTGTATTAAGATGCATTAATTAATACATCAGGAAATAGTTGCGTACATTATATACAGTCCTGTGAAAAACCCTTGCGTTGTTACAAAGACACCCCCTGTTATTAAGTTCCAGATTGCAATGGGAAAGACGCGCAGCCAAAAGGGCACCAATCTGTAAATTAACTAACTGCTTTCTATCCGCTTTGCGTCATCTTTCCCTTGCTGATTTTAGCAGCACTGCATTGTACTCTTGAGGTATTGTTGGATCATTTTTTCGGGGATAATAATCCCTTCAAAAAATCAATAATAATTTGGTCACTCAATCCAGGATTGTTTGTTGGACACTGCTGTGTGCAATTGGCTGCAGCGTTTCGCCCACAAAATATACACACAGTCAATTAACTGTATATTCTTTGAAGCGCTTTGAGATGTCTCGAAGATGTGATAAGGTGCTATATCAAATCCAAGGGTTATTATTATTAATCATAATCCTTGTTTTGACACACTATCTATAATGTTGAAATGTCACAAAGCGCTTCACAGGGATTTACAGTACTGCCAAGGGTAATGATTCTGTAGTTTGTATGTAAATGAGGCAGCCAATTTATGCACAGCAAGATCCCACAAATTGCCCTGAGATGAATGAGTGATTTCTCTGGAGGATTGTTGGCTAGGACACCGGTAGAAACTCCCTTTTTTTTTACAATAATGTTGCATGATGTTTAACATCTGTCTGGGCAAAGGGGACCTCTGTTTAATATTTCATCTGAAGGACAGCATGTCTGACAATGCAGTGCTCCCCCAGAACTTACTGGAGTGTCAGCCTGAACAGTGAGTTCAGTCCTTATGTGAGACTTGAATCTACAATTTTCTGACCTAGTGAGAAATGCTTGGCCCTCATGCTGACATCATCATGGAGGCCTTGACCCACTAGGCTTTTAAGGACATCATTATTTTGAATAGATGAGGGTCACTAAGAAATATGAGCTGAAATAGGAAAGCGTAAGATCTACCTGTAAAAGCAATTTGCATTTACATTGTGCATTTTATGCAGGATAACATCACAAAGTTTCTTACAAAAACAATGGGGATCAGTCAACAGAGAGAAGAGGAGGGAGAGGTCAAGAATGTTGGCCAAAGGCATGGCAAGTAAATTCTTTAGAGGTTTTTGAAGGCAAAGGAATTTTGAGGAGAGTGCCAGAAAGCAAGGCATAATGAGTGAATGCATAATCAATTGCCTATGGTGGGCCAGAGGGAACAGGTAATACGTGAGAGCCAGAAGAGCACTTGAATTACGAGATGAGTTAAGTCTGAATTATGCAACCAGCACTGAAACACAGGAGTCTGGGTAGCACCAGGTTCAAAGGTATTGCTGTCCAACCCAACAATAATAATCCTTGCATTTAATTTAAAAATCAGTGCCTTTGGACGTCCTTCCGACATGAAAGGCACTATGCAGATGAAATTTTGTATTGTATTTAGCACCTTATGTTATCTCACGGTTTCATAGTTATCATCAAAGTAAACATCTCCAAAGTTTTATGTCCCAACTTTTTTTAACAAATGAGTGTGTCCAGTTTGTGTATGTACTTCCCAGTGTCTGTCTTGAAATTGCCCTTACATACCTGAACCAGTGCCTTGTCCTGCTGCACTGGCCGACCTAAAGGTACTTATCTGAGTTTATTTTCTCTATGCTTGCCAGGAAGTGAGTAATTTTCCCCAATAAATAAGCATACTAACTTTTATTTCCTTCTGCCAGTTGGGATAAGGTTTGCGAGGTGATATCTGGTTTAGAAAGGAACTTGTGTGTGATTCTCTATGATTTGCTTATAGGGCTAAGTACTTTATTGCCCAGTACTTTTCAAACTATTTTTTTACTATGAAAACTTGGCAGCAGTCAACAATTAACACAACAGGCAAGCAACAAGAAGGCAACTTCTGGCACAGAAAAAACAGCGAACTTGAGAATCTGAATAAACTGCCAAGACTTATCACTTGTTCCAAAATATTATAAATAATAAAAACTCCCTAATCCCATTCCTCGTCACCTATCAGGAAACTTGTGATTTAGTGTTGGTTACTTTTGATGTTCTTTTCAAAGGAAAGTTTTTCCTTATTTACAACTTAATGTGGTATTTGCTGCCTGGTAACTGGAAGTGCATCAGTCCAACCCGTAAGAAACTTCTCTGTGCAAGTGGATCTCATTGGAACTGTTCTGAATAGCACCTTTCCAGTTTCCGTCAGGACTCGCTATTCATATTTCAGGCCTGCTATTTAATGAATCCAGTTAGCAAACACCTAACAACAACTTGCACTAATATAGTGTTTTTCACAATAACAACAAAATTACATTTGTATAGCGCCTTTCATGTTGGGAGGATGTCTCAAAGCGCTGAACAATCAGAGTTCAGACCCGAGCTGGGGGGTTGCGATTGGGTGATCGAAAGCACGGTCAAAGAGAAGGGTCTTGAGATGGGTCTTGAAGAAGGCAAGGGAGGGGGTGAGGCAGAGGGACTGCTGGATGGAGTTCCGGAGGATGAGGGCAGAGTGGGTGAAGACAGGTCCACCAATGGTGAGGCGGGCAAGACGGGGGATGTGAAGCAGGCCAGAGCCCGCTGAGCGGAGGGAGCGAGCAGGATGGTAGGGCGTTAGGAGGTCACAGAGGTAGGGGGAGCAAGACCATGAAGGGCTTTGAAGGTGAGGACCAGGATCTTGAACTGTATCCTCTGTGTGATGGGAAGCCAGTGGAGTCGGGCGATAGCATCTCAAAACATTTTGACGTAGGTTTTCTTTTGCACAGAATGCTCCATCCTCGGGACAGACATTGATCTTCAGAATGTTGAGAACATCACTGTCAGTCCTTAACAAGTCCACGTCCCAAACTTGCAAGCTTTGTGTGATGTGTTCATTTGTCGATACCTACCTTCCAGACTTGCACATCACAAGATTGGTTGCGATGAAGAAGGCCTTCAGACCATTTCATCTCATTCCTTCCAGAATACCTACCCTGTTGCCTTCCCAGCACAGAATCAACTGTCCTGACCTCAAGCACTCTTCCTTTCAACCTGTTAGTCATTAATCACCCTCTGGGTAAATAAAAAGCTTCAGGTGTCTGTCATAAGAATGAGATAAATAATGGCTAATTGGAAGTGGTGTTCCTTCCTCCCCCCCCTTTATTGGAACTCCCTGTATAAGGCTCATACATGGCAGTGCCTTCTGGAGAGGAGGAGTTAAAGTAGGAGAAATACAAAACAATTTTTTCATAGAACCTCATTAGAAAGCCAAGTGAAATTTCATCGTATGTGTCTGGACTGGATTCAACCCTGAATGAAGTGTTAAACAAAACACTAATACTTTGTAGCATACAATCTACCTGGAACGTATTGGCTTTGTGGTGCTTTATAATTCCAAAAGTGATTACCACTGTTCTATTGACAGGTTTCTGATCACCTCAATCTGTAGAATTTTGTGCCGAAGGTTGGTTCAAGTCTCACAGTTCAGGTTGGTTCCCGTGCACCAAAGGGAATGTTGTATTATTGGAGTAGCTGTTCTTCAAATGATATATTAACCTGGGGTCTGTCTGTTCTTCAGGTGGATGTTGAAAATCTTTTAATGCTATTGGAAAAGAGAAAGTGTCTTGGCCAACAATTCTCCAGATAAATTGGTCATTCACCTCATGGTAATGTGTGGGACATTGATGTGTTTGCCTTAAAAACAGTCATAACAACTTGGATTTATATAGCGTCCTGAACGTGGGAAGTCACTCAGAGTGCTTAACACTTGTCACTAAACTTGTCAGTAATCACTTTAAGATCTTTAATTGCTGCAAAAGTGCAAATTCTTTCTCGCTTAACAGAGATTTAATGCACACAATTTCTTTTCTGCACAGAGTGCTCCATCCTGGGGACAGACATTGATCTCCAGAAGATTGAGAACGACACTATCAGTCTGGAGAGTTTTTTCAAGGGCTGGTTACACAACCACGGGACAGATAGGGAGCATCTCCATTTACTACTTCCAGCAGGGCGTCTCTCAAATTCTACACAAAAGAGTAAGTTTGCGCGCATTGGTGTGACCACACCTGGAATACTGTGTGTAGTTCTGGTTGCCACATTACAAAAAGGACACTGCAGCTTTGAGAGAATACAAAAGAAGGGAACCAGAATGATTGAAGGGATGGAGGGACTGGAATATGAGGAGTAGTAAACTGGGCATATTCATGCTGGAAAAGAGAAGGTTGAGTGGTAATATGATAGCGTTTTTAACATCCACCTGAACAGGCACAGTTGTACCTCACTTTAACATCTTATCTGAAGGTTGTAAACTGAAGGTTTTGTTATAATGGATAAGGTGGTGCATAATTATAATTATTGATTCTACAGCACTAGCCGGACATCATGTCTTGTGCGTTTAAGTCCCAACCTGGGGCTATAATATATGAGTGCTACCAGCTAAGCTAACACCTGAACTTACTTCACAGAGGTTGTTTGAAAAGTAGCAAAGTTGTTTAAACAAAATCTGATTTGCGAGTCTTTGGTTCTGAACTGTAGCCTGCCTGAAATGTGATGTCCAAGAACGACTCATCAGTCCTGCCCTGCTTCCAGGAACAACTGACTTTGTGGGGAAAACTGAGGGCCTCAGAGATTGTCAGAACCCAAATAAAGCAGTGAACCCGGGATTGCTGCAGCACAAGCTTCAAGTTGTTAAGTACGTACTCTTCTGTCTAGACACAGGGTCTAATTTAATAATGATAATATTAATCATCCTTGCATTTGATACAGCGCCTTATTACATCTTCAAGATGTCTCAAAGAGCTTCACAGAATATACTGTAAAGTGAATTGACTGTACATTTTGTGGGCGAAATGCAGCAGCCAAATGCACAAAGCAGTGTCGCACAAACAATCGTGGATTGAATGACCAAATTATTATTCCTTTAAATTTTATTTAATAAGTGAATATTACCCTCGTAAAAGCAATCCGCCAATCTACTAACAACAGTGTTCCTACTTATTGCTAGATAAACAGAGGTGTGTTGAGTAAGGAAACTTGCCCAACATTTTGTCATGCCTGGGAATCGAACCTCGGTCTCCTGCTTGCAAGACGAGTGCTCTAACTACTACGCTACAGGACTCCACAGCTCAGGAATTTACAAGATTTCTTAACAGATTGTTTCATTCGAAATGTGCCATTATCAAATTATTATCTTTCTAAAACATTGAATGTGCTTTGAAGTATGATAATTGAATACCTTTTCAGCACATTTAGTTGAAGCAATTCAATAATTACTTTTCTTATTACAAAATCTGTTAGGAAATATTACAAAATAAACCTCACTGTGTAATGCGTGTTAAAGTGTCTGAGCACATCAGTGTTCAGGGGCTTTAGGATAACAAGGTGTCTGCAGTGTGCAACAAGGAACAATGTGAAAATGTTCACATGGTGTTTATATGGAATAACAAATGATCTGCGATGTCCAAGGCAGAAACATCAATGTTTTCAGAGGATTTATGCACAGGATAACAAATGGCCTGGAATGTGTTACAAAACCGAAACTCAATCCAGTCCAGAGTTCTTGGCTGATTTACAGAAGACACAATCTGCCATGTGTTAAAAGATATCAACACATCAAGGTGATCAGATGGTTTATATGCAGGATAACATGTTTTTCACATAGGGATTGTTAGCCTAAATCTTCCAGGAGCTGAGTTCAAGGTTACAGCAAAGAATGCATTGGGTTAGCTAACTCCAGTGGAGGAGTTGATATATGGGGAGTGGGGGTGAATCGAGCACCAGCACAGACACAATGGGGGGGAAAACATGGCAACCAGGATTAGAGTAGAAAGCTCCGTGGGGGAGCAACCGCCAGTCCAGTCACAATGGGAGAAAGAGTCCTGCAGAGCATTGGTTAGATCACTTGCCTCGCAAGCGAGAGGACCCTGTTTCAATTCCTGGGCAGGGCGAAACCTTAGACAAGTTTCCTTACTCCAACGCCTGTTTATCTAGCAGTAAGTAGGAACCTGGTTGTTAGTCAATTGGTGGATCGCTTTCTGGGGGTAATAATCCCTTCAAAAAATTAATAATTTGGTCACTCAATCCACAAGTGTTTGTAGGACACTGCTGTGTGCAATTGGCTGCCGCATTTTTCCAACAAAATATACAGTCAATTCACTGAATAGAGCTCTTCATGTTCTGTAATTGTCTATTCTATGATTTTTATTCCATAATTTTCTCTTCTATGATTTTTATCTTTTTTTTGGTTCTGCTCATTGATTGTTCTAACGACAATGTATACCTCCTGATTTACAGAGCTCTGAAGTCTGATGGGGTCTGTGAATCAGTATTTTATGGACTCCCCCTTGTAATTAGACCCACAAACTGCTGGAAGCTGGACTGGGATGAACTGGAGACAAACCATCATAACTTCCATGCACTCTGCCACACACTGGAGGTGGGTGAACGTAAAAACCACAGTAAAAAAAAATAGATTCAATATGATAATTATTATCAAAGAAATACCTTTTTCCCATCAATAGTTATCCACTGTTTTTCAATGTGAACAACCCTACCCCCTCCCTCGCCCTGACTTCACCACTAAGGTCAAGGCCAAAGATTTCAGGTCGTGCATTGTTTCTGACGATTGCAGAGAGCGGCGTTTCATCGCCTGTTCAGATTGAGTTCACAAGATAATAATAATCCTTTCATTTGATATAATGCCTTATCACGTCATTGAGATGTCTCAAAGTGCTTCACAGAACATACTGGAAAGTGAATTGATTGTACATTTTGTTGGTGAAACGCGGCAGCCAATTGTGCAAAGCAGTGTCCCACAAACAGTTTTGGGTTGGGTGACCACTTTTTTTTTTTGGAGGGATTATTATCCCCGGAATGCAATCCGCCAATCAACCAGCAACCGGATTCTTACTTACTAATAGAGGTAAACAGAGGCGTGTGGACTAAGGACTTGCCTAAGGTTTTGTCTCATCCAGGAAGTGAACCCAGGTCCTCTCGCTTGCAAGGCGAGCTCGCTAACCACTATGCTATGGGACTCCACATCCCCTACTCCACAGAACTAAAGACTCCACAGATCACATAAGAGGTTAGGATGAAGAAGCCCTTTGACCCAAATTATTTCATCCTTCCTGAATAACCACCTACCCTTCCTCCTATTCCAACATCGAGCTGTTTCTTAAGCTGGTCTCAAGCAAGGCTTTCTGATCAGCCATTTCTCTGCCAATGGAACAATGGCAGTAGTGGGAGCAAAGATGACAGCTACCAGTGGCTTTCCACCAAACTCGTGTGCTGAACTTGGTGGGCTTGAAGGGAAATATTCACACCCAGATATAGTTGATAATTATTAAGTAATTTGTTTTTGATCAGCCAGGTGTCTGACACATGTGCAAACCCATCGCCATGTATCTAAACCAAACAGAGAATTCATGCATCCCACCTGCACATGGAAATTCCAGAAACAGTTTAAATGAAATGCGCACTCTCTCTCTGGAGGGATGCATCCTGCTTACTTAATTACAGAGAGTATTAGGCGCAGGTTGGAAAGAGCCAAGGCTTGGGGACCCCAGAGTTTTTGAAATTGTGATCAGAAACAACAAATGGGAGCACGGACATATTCAGGCCTAACCATTGTGCTGGAGGTAGTGGGAGTGGGAGGGAGTTGGAGATAGAGGAGGTTATATTCGTTTGTTAGTAAAGAAGTTTGGATCATAATTTTCTGCCAGTTGATAGTTATCATCAGCAATAATTATACAATTAAATCTTGTACTATTCACCTCATTCACTGTTCCTTAATTACTTGTCCAATTCCCTTTAAAATGTTGCTAGGGTCTTAGCCTTTGTACCTAACTTGCAGTAAGTAAACATGAAACAAAGAGCTTTTTTTAAAAAAAGAGTGAACGGGAGAGGAACATTATAGGTCTGTTGGTTCCTCCCACTGAAGCTCTATACTCTAATTCCAATTCCATGCTCTTTCCATATGGGAATGAGTAGATAGTCTCTTTGGAAGAAGTGAGGCTCTACTGAAGGAAATGGGATTAATTTGGTCACTCAATCCATGATGGTTGTGGGACACTGCTGTGCACAATTGGCTGCCGCTTTTCTCCCACAAAATATACAGTCAATTCATTTTATAGTATCGTTTGTGAAGCGCTTTGGGATGTCTCAATGACGTGATAAGGTGCTATATCAAATGTAAGGATTATTATTATAATTGTTACACTACACAGTCATTAATGTACTCTGTATTCTAAGAATTAATTATGAACAATTTTGAACACAGTTAATTCTCTTTTTCCCAGACCTAGGCATCCAATTAAGCTCTTTAAAGGGCTCTGCTTCAAACTGACTCGTATTCGCTTTTTGGTTGCATAGGCGTGAACATGAGGAGTTAATTACCTCCGGTTGTGAGGTGGCGTTTTTGCTGGCAACCCAGAGGGAGCTGAGTGGCAAAACATCTCCTCACAGCTGTAATTTTTATGGTGTTAATCAGCAGATGTGCAAATGGAAACTATCAAGGCCACACTTTCTTAGGTTCAGCAATACTACTCAAAGGCTCTGCTCCTTGCTCATGACCAGGAGACACGACCTGCAATAATAATCCTTGCATTTGATTTGGCACTTCATCAAGTTGAAACATCACAAAACACTTTACATATTTCATCTGCTAAATAACCCAGTGAAATTGACAGCTGTGCGGATATGTTTTTCTACTCCGAACTCACAGGTCTGCCAGCATCGTCACTTCAGTAGCTGGAGTTAATTGGCTCTTCATGTTAATGCTGAGATGTGGGCTGCACTAAAACAGAACCCTTGTTGAAAGAAGCAAAGAACTTGAATTATTACGTTAGTTTATCATGGTGAAACAATTCAAAGTGATTCATAGAAAGTATTGTATTTGTAGGCATTAAAGTAGCCATTTTGTGAATAGCAATAAAACAGCCATAAAGTGAATGATTAACTTTTTCTGGAGAATTGTTGGCTGGACAACAAGAGAAACTACCTTCTCTTTTCCAATATTTCAAACGTTTAACATCCACCTGAAGAGGCAGGAGGGTCCTCGATTTAAAGTTTCACCCTTCATATTGCAGCAATACCCCTCCACCCCCCACCGGACTTGGACTGTCAGCCTAGACTGTGATCCTAATTCCTTAGGTGAAGTTTATACCCACAACCTTAAGCAAAAGGACCTGGGTTTGATTCCAGGGCAGGGCGAAATGTTAGGCAAGTTTCCTTACTCCACACACCTCTGTTAACCTAGCAGTAACCAGAAAGCCGGTTGTTAGTTGATTGTCGGATTGCTTTCCTGGGGGTAATAATCCCTTAAAAAAATGTGGTCACTCAATCCACGACTGTTTGTAGGACACTGCTGTGCGCAGTTGGCTGCCATGTTTCATCCACAAAATATACAATCTATTCACTTTACAGTATATTCTGTGAAGTACTTTGAGACATCTCAAAGACGTGATAAGGTGCAATATCAAATGCAAGGATTATTATTATAACTAAAGATCTTTGATCTTGGAGTGAACTCTGAAATACCAATTTCTAGCCACGAGGGGGAGAATTTGCTTTACATCTCTAATTTACTGAGGACCTCTTGTGGCAGAAATCATTCAAAGCAGCATTGCAACACAGGAAAGAGATTCTTTATTAGAACAAGTTAACACTTGAAAAATATCAAGGTCTGAAAGTTCATCTGGTGTTAGCCTGTGAGCCAACTTTTTTATACCTCAACCTTTCTGGCTGCTCTATTCACCTTAATATCTCTTGGCCTCAACCCTTGACTCCAGGACCACTGCTGTCCTGACAAAATGTCTGTCAGACATCAAGTCCTGGATGAGAGGTAACTTTCTACAGTTGAAAGTCAACAAGTCCGAGGCTCTCCTGATTGGCTCACCTCAGCGCCTCCTCACCTCAGGAACTATCACCATCCATGGTTGCACACTCCACCTTACGAAACCAGTCCGGAACCTTGGCATCTTGTTTGACCCTCAACTATCCTTTCCACCACACATCCGTGCCATGACCCACTCTGCCTTCTCCTATCATCGCCCGGCTCCCCTACTGTCTCACACGGCAGGCTGCCAAAACCCTCATACATGCATTCATAACATCCACACATGACTATTGCAAACTCCCTGCTTGTCAGCCTCCCCAACTTCTCCCTCCATAGACTTCAGATCATCCAGAACTCTGCAGCCCGTGTCCTCTCCTGCATCAGGCTCCGTGACCCTATCACCCCCATCCTCGCCCGACTCCACTGGCTTCCCATCACACAGTGGATACAGTTCAAGATCCTAGTCCTCACCTTCAAAGCCCTCCATGGCCTTGCTCTATGTTGTTGTTGTTGCCAGATCTACTGGCTTTTTGTCTCCTGGGTGCACTACCCTCAAGATCCCCTATGTGAAAGCTGCTATGCAAGTTGTCAACGGGATGGTCTTAGTTTAACATCTATCGGCAAGTGCCCTACAAAATAGCATCACTACAGTCTACTGTAAATCCTGTGAAGCGCTTTTGAAATGTTTTGATGACATGAGAAAAGTAATATATCACATTTAAAGATTATGGAGTCCTGTAGCTCAGTGGTTAGAGCATTGGCTCGCAAGCGAGAGACCTGGGTTGGATTCTTGGGAGGGCGAAACGTTGGGTAAGTTTTCTTGCTCCACACGCCTGTTTACCTAGCAGTAAGCAGGAACCTGGTTGTTTGTCGATTGTCTGATCATTTTTTTGAGGGTAATAATCCATCAAGAAAATAATTGATCACTCAATCCATGACTGTTTGTGAGACATTGCTGTGCGCAATTGGCTACAGCGTTTCTCCCACAAAATAGTCAATTTACTTTACAGTATATTCTGTGAGGTGCTTTGAGGTGCTTCAAAGATGTGATAAGGGGCTATATCAGATGCAACAATTATTATCTCATGTGAAGAACGAAACCCCTGACATCACTGCGCTCCCCAGCACTGCACTGGAACATCAGCCTGGTCTGTGAATTCTAACCACAAGATCACATGAGAGATTCGGATTAAGAAAGAAAGCCCTTTGCTCCATTTGATCTTATCCTTCCACACTACCATGCTGTGTCTTCCAATTACAGCATTGAGCAGCTTTTCAAATGAGTCCCACGTACTGAAGTGGGGTTTGAATCCACAACAAAACAACAATAATAATAATCCTCGTGATAGAAATTACGCCTTATCAAATCGTTGAGACATCTCAAAGCGCTTCACAGAATATATTATAAAGTGCATTGACTGTATTCTCTTTGCAAAACGCAGGGGTCAATTGTGCATAGCAATTCTTCACAACAGTCATGGATTGAGAACAAACAACAACAAATTGCATTTATATAGCGCCTTTCAAGCCGGACATCCCACCACACTGACAACCTTCTGATCTAGATGCAAAACTGAGTCATACTGATACAATGATAATTGGTAAACATCACTCTCGTTGATTGCTCTATCTGAAAAGTTGTTTTTTCATTTGCTAGAAAAGAAGCTTCATGCTTTTAGCTCGTTCTGAGCCACAGGTCACAGGATCCAATTGTACTGTCCACGTCTACTCTTACTACATCTTACTGCCCTCCAGCACACTGACACTTCTGGTCAAGCCTATTGCTGTCCGTGAGCTACTTTTACCATGCGAGCTTCCCTACAGGTCAGAAGCACCACCTGAGACAGCACTGAGCAAAGTGGAGGTGAGTGAGTGGCTGCAGAGGAATCAACATTCTAACCACCTACTGTGTTAAGATAGTTTATCTAACCTCCCTTGTAATACATTTATGTGATTACTATCTTCCTTGGGGGGTGGGATATAAGTGGGGTCTCTTTGGAGCTGAACTGGCTCCATGGTGACATGCTTGGTAATGGAGTATTGGAATCGAGCCAGCCCTCTGTGGTGGTCTTGATAGTCTGCGCCAGGTGGGTATGCAGTATTTCAGGGCACAGCTGATAACAGCATAGCTCATCATCAGGATCTAGAATTTATGTGATTATCTAAAATATTTGTAGGATATCCTGGATGGATTAGAGGTGGAGCCCACATATAACCCACTGGCTGTGAAAAGCAACCTTTACAAGTACCTGCGAGGGACTTTAGCCAGAACGCCTTATCGTCCACAGTGCAAGCAAGTTCAGCGCAAGGAGCATCACCCTGCCGAACATCCCAAGACACAGGTATTTATAACAACAAACTCACAGAATCCTGAAATGTTTATAGTATAGGCGGAGGCATTGTGTCTGTGCTGGTGCCTCCTCCCCGCAGGAACTATCTATTCTAACCCCGTTCCTGTGCTCTTTCTCCATTGTCAATTGCTGGTCCTATCTCGCCCAAGATAACTCTAATCCCATTTTCCTGCTCTTTCTATCATGACTGTGCTGGTGCTAGTCCCGCACCCCACACACACTGGAACTCCTCTACTCTTAATTTTAAGTGTCAGCTTGGCTCAGTTTGTTTAAGCACCTTGGAGCCTAAGAATTTGTAGCTTCAAGCACCACATCGGGACTTTGAACTCAGTCCAGGCTGACTCTCCAGTACATTGCTGGGGTAGTGCTCCATTATCAGAGGGTCCGTCCTTCTGAACTATCTCTAACATTGGGGATCAGCTTTGTCCCTGTTCTCTCCAATACCTCCAACATTGGGCAGATCGAAAGTACGTCCCCAGGATGTTTGTTCTCCATTGATGACTAAGAACAGGTGTTTCCTAGATACATGCAAGAGGTCACATCCTAACCACAATTGGCCAAGTAAATATGATTTAAATATTGGCAAACCACAAGCTGGTGATCTTGAGCTCACAGAACATTGCTGGGAGAGCGCTGCATTGTCAGAGGTGCCATCCTTCAGATGAGGCATTAAGTTCCTGTCTATTTAGATGGACATTGACAATTCTATTCTCTATTCAAAAAGAGAAGGAGGTTTCTCCCAGTATCCAGGTCCTGGCTGACCCCAGATAAAATTGGTCATTCGCTTCATATGTGTTTGAGGAGGTCTTACTGTGCTCATTATGGCCACAGTCACTACAGTTAACTACACTTCCCTGTGAAGATCTTTGAGGTGTTTGAGGTGTTTTGACAATATAAGCATTGCCTCAAATGCAAAGATTATCATATTCAATAACAACTTGCATTTATATAGCACCACAGAGAGCTTGACAGTAGAAGATCACAGTGGATATACTGGACACAACCAGTATCAAATACCGGACACTTATTTTATAGTATAAAATAATCTGTGCATTTAATATAGTGCCTTCATCAGACCATCTCGAAGATTGCATACAGAACGCATTTTGTCAAATGGAAGATTTGTTTTTGTTAATACTTTTCTTTCATTTTTCTTTCACCTCCAGCAACATTTCAGGCAGTACCAGAGTAAAATGAAAGCCACCGTGGCTCCTCTCCCAATGATTCGCCACTCCACAAACCAAGCCAAGAGTTTCAGGCCTGCTCTTCCTATGAATAGCTGCTCATACAGTATGTCCTTGCTCTCAGACGATGATGAGTTTCTCTCAGGCCTGTGATCAGCTCTTGCCATGTTTTCCCGGGGGGTGGGTGGAAAGGTGGGGGGGTGCTGTTTAGAAATAGACATTCCAGAAGAAAAACTCTGCCAAGGTATCAGAACATAAAAGTAAAGTGAGTATAGCACCCGTCTGAAGCTTTCATTCTGTCTCCTGAGTCTTAGCTGCTTCCATCTGTGTTTGTCGTTGCTAATTGTAGGCCACAGATCTATGTTGCTTGGGTCAGTGCCTTTCAATCTTAGCAACTGCCTTTCTTAACCACTCGTGGTGAACTTTGTTAGTTCGGAAATTGAATCTTATCTTATGCCACCCTGAATGTGAAAGCTTTATCACAACCTGTCACAACAGGAAGTGTAGCACTACATTCACAGCAGGTGCATCGAGTGGAACTCTCTCCATTGTTTGAGACTACAGTAACATTGAAGGAGAAAATACCTGTACCTTGTGTAGGGCCACTATCTGCATTGGATATGGCATAATCTAATTGGTCCCACAGTGGATAGTCTCCTTCCCTCGTCACAGGACAACTTGTAAGCAGTCCTGTATTTGTAGCACAGTCTAATTGCGGTTAAATTAGGGAATGATTTCTAAATACCACATTAATCTATCTACCAGATATCTGAAATTACACCTCATCCCAGTCTGCAAGAATGTTTTGTCATAAAATTTAAGACATCAAGGAAGTGTAGGAAAAAAATTCTTAAAAATCTAAATTTGAAATCTGGTTTCTTTTCTTTTTTTTAAAAGCCACAGGAAACCAGATTCCAAATTGAGCCTGGATTTCAGAATTTTCAACAATTCTGCCCCATCTTAAATATTGAGAGAAAAATAGTGTCACAGGCTATGACCAGGTGGAATTTTGGGTCTCCCAGCACTTTGCAGTGAAACCTTGGTATAAAAGGAACGTTTCTGTTGCGCATTTCTTTTGACTTCAGTGGGTACTTTCTCACAAAATGTAACCCGGTTGTGTGCTGTTTGTTGCTAACTTTTAATATTCTGCAATTTGACAAACCACAGAAATTAAAAATTCACGGAAAAACAAAAAAGTGGACAGATGTGCATCATTTTGCCAAGAATCGAGACAAAAACATATAGGTGAAAACTGAATGCAAAATACTGCAGATGCTAGAAATTTGAAACAAAATCAGAAGTCGCTGGGAACACTCAGCAGGTCAGGCAGCATCTATGGAGAAAGGAAAATGAGTCAACATTTCGGGTCCACTACCCTTCGTCAGACCTGCTGAGTATTCCCAGCGACTTCTGTTTTTGTAGGTGAAAACTGTGTCATTCTTAAATAGACTTTTTAAATCTATCACTGAAGAATGATTAAGGAACATTGCAGCAATTTCGGGTTCAAATGGGTCCTGTAAACCAAACTGACAGCCTTGGTGCTAATAATAATAATCCTTGCATTTGATATAGCACCTTATCACGTCTCAAAGTATTTCACAGAATACATTGTAAAGTGGATTGACTGTGGATTTTATGGGCAAAACGCAGCATCCAATTGTGCACCCCAGTATCCCACAAACAGTTACGGGGGAGCAGCTTTGTTGAAGGTGCTTACCTTTGGATGTGATAAGATCACTTACAAAATATGCAGTCATTATACTTTATACTTTACATTAAATCCTGTGAAGTGCTTTACTTCCTCCCCTCCTTCTCCCCCCGCCAACTAAATGCAACAATTATTATGTTAACAACAACAACAACAAGATTCCATTTATAGAGCGCCTTTCACGTCAGGAGGACGTCCCAAGGCGCTGCACAGTTGGGTCATGACCCGAGCAGGGGGGAAATGGTCAGGGTGAGGGGAGGGAAGGGAGGGAGAGAGGAGGGGGGAAATGGTCAGGGTGAGGGGAGGGAAGGGAGGGAGCGAGGAGGAGGAAGAGAGTCGAGAGGGGAGCTGAAGGCACGGTCAAAGAGAAAGGTTTTGAGACCGGCCTTGAAGGAGGAAAGGGAGGAAGCAAGGCGAAGGCACTGGGGGATGGAGTTCCAGAGCCTGGGGGCTGAGAGGCTGAAGGCCCGACCACCGATGGTAGGGCGGTTGGGGCGGGGGACGTGGAGCAGACCGGAGCCAGAGGAACGGAGGGTACGGGCAGGTAGGTAGGGGGATAGTAGGTTGGAGAGGTAGGAGGGAGCAAGGCCGTGAATGGCCTTGTAGGTGAGGATGAGGATCTTGAAATCAATCCTCTGGGGGATGGGGAGCCAGTGGAGGCGAGCGAGGGTGGGAGTGATGTGGTCCCGAAGCCTGGTGCGGGACAGTACACGAGCTGCAGAGTTCTGAATGACCTGCAGCTTGTGGAGGGAGGTGGCGGGAAGGCCGGCGAGGAGAGAGTTCCCATAGTCCAGCCTTGAGGTGACAAAGGCGTGAACCAGGGTTTCAGCAGCGTGAGGGGTGAGGTAGTGCCGTAGTCTGGCGATATTCCGGAGGTGATGGAAGGCGGTGCCAGTTGTGGTGCGGATGTGAGGGAGAAAGGACAGCTCAGGGTCGAACAAAACGCCGAGGTTCCTGACTGGCTTTGAGAGGTGGAGAGTGCAGCCTTGGATGCTGATGGTGTCAGCGCCTGAGGTGCGGAGGCGCTGACGTGAGCCAATCAGGAGGGCCTCGGTTTTTCGCACGTTGAGCTGAAGAAAGTTGTCTCTCGTCCAGGACTCGATGTCGGACAGGCAGGCTGTCAGGACATCGGTGGTCGTGGAGTTGAGAGTAGAGGAGGAAAGGTAGAGTTGGGTGTCATCCGCATACATGTGGAAGTTAACCCCATGTTTGCGGATGATGTCACCAAGGGGGAGCATATAGAGGGTGAAGAGGAGGGGACCGAGGACAGAGCCCTGAGGGACACCACATGAGACAGTACGGGGGGTGGAGGAGAAGCCATTCGTTGAGACGAAGTGAAGACGGTGGGAAAGGTAAGAGCTAAACCATTCAAGGACAGTGCCTTGAAGGTTGAGGTGGGAGGACAAGCGGTGGAGTAGGATAGCGTGGTCGACCGTATCGAATGCTGCCGATAGGTCGAGGAGGACGAGGAGACAGAGGGAGCCCTGGTCACAGATGGTCAGGATATCATTGGTGACCTTGACCAGGGCAGTTTCTGTGCTATGAGCAGCACGGAAACCTGACTGAAGGGGTTCAAAAAGAGAATGGGTGGAGAGGAAAGAGCGCAGTTGGGAGGCGACAACTCTTTCCAAGACCTTGGAGAGAAAGGGGAGGTTGGAGATGGGCCGGTAGCTTGATAGCTGCGACGCATCAAGGGAGGGTTTTTTCAGGGTGGGCGTGATGATGGCAGTTTTTAATGGAATGGGGACAGAGCCAGAGGAGAGGGACAGGTTTATGATGTCAGTGATGTGTGGGGCAAGAAAATGGAGCTGGGAGATAAGGAGTGGAGTGGGGATGGGGTCAAGGGAGCAGGTGGTTGGTTTTAGGGATAGGATGAGTTCAGTGACAGAGGGTGGGGAAACGGGTACGAAGGTGTGTAGGGGAGGATGGGTAGGAGTCGGAGTGTGGGAGGGAAGGGGTGGGTGGTGGGTGGAAGTTGGAGGGGAAGTGACCGCGGAGCGGATTCCCTTGATCTTGGATTCAAGGAAATCCAGCATCTCCTCGCAGTGAAGGTTGGAGGAGATGACCTGCGCGGGGTGGCGGGGGGGACGGAGGAGTCGGGATGTGGTGGAAAACAGTAGCCTGGGGTTGTTCTTCGCCTCCAGGATTATCCTGGAGTAGAAGGACGACTTGGCCGAGGCTAGAGTGGAGCGGTAAATTTTGAGGAGGTCCAGCCAGATTTGTCGGTGGACCGTTAAGCCGGATTTGACAAAGGTGCGCTCAGCAGCCCGCACCTGGCATTTCAGTGAGCGGAGGTGGGTGGTGTACCAGGGGGAGGAGCGGGAGTAGGAGACAGTGCGGGAAGTGATGGGGGCAAGAGTATCGAGTGTGGAGGAGAGGATATTGTGGAGGAGGGAGAGAGGAGAAGAGGGGTCGGTGAGGGTTGAAGGCCAGAGGGAGAGGAGTTCAGAGGACTCCAAGGCATCGGTTAGGGATTGTGGGGGTAACTTCTTCCAAGGGCGGTAGAAGATGGTGGTGGGTCTGGTGGAGGTGGGGAGGGGGGTGGAGGTGGTGAAGGAGATGAAGTAGTGGTCGGAGATGGCCTTGTCGGTAATAGTGACATCCGAGACACTGAGGCCCCGGGTGATCACCAAATCGAGTGGGTGGCCGTGACTGTGAGTGGGGGAGTTTATGTGTAGGGAAAGGTTGAGTGAGGAGAGCAGGGAAGAGAAGTCTGTGGAGATGGAGCAGGAGGGGGTGAAGTGTAGGTTAAAGTCGCCCAGGATGATGAGGCGATCAGAGGAGAGGCAAAGAGATGTGAGGAGTGTTGAAATGTCAGAGATGAAGGTGGGAGAGGTTTTAGGGGGCCGGTAGAGGAGGAGGATTTTAAGGGAGAGGAATGAGGGGTGGGAGAGGGTGAGGTGCTCGAAGGAGGGGAAAGAGCCAGAGGAGTAGGGGGATAGGGCAAGTGGTGTCCTTGAGATAAGGGCAACACCACCGCCACGGCGGTTGGGGCGGGGGATGTGGTGGGAGGTGTAGCCGGGTGGCGTGGCCTCCGTGAGGGGGAAGGTGTCGCCTGGGGTGAGCCAGGTTTCTGTCAAGGCCATGATATCAACGTTCTCATCAAGGATGAGATCGTTGATGACCAGGGCCTTGTTGCAGAGGGAGCGGACATTTTGCAGTCCGATGTGGAGGGAGCGGTTGACAGAAGGGTGTGTGGGAGGGGAGGGGGGTCCAGGTTGTGAGGCAGGGGTGGGGGAATGGGGATGAGGGAGGAGAGGTTGACTCCCCGGGTCTGTGTCCGGGGTGGGTGGCGAGTGTGGTGGGGAATGGGGCAGTCGGTGTGGCTGCTGCTGGACAGCCAACGCCGAGTGCCACGGTGAGCCCGGCGGAGGATTCCCAGACTGGAACAGAGGGAGGTTGTGGGAGGGTCAAGTGGGGATAGAAGACGAGAGGGACGGAGAGA